ATATATATATATATATATATGTATATATATAATAATAAAATATAATATATTATTATTTGACATTGACATATGATGGACTTACATCAATTATATTTCCCGAGGCATTCAACACCCCCTATTTTGGAGTGCCATTAGCACTCCCTTTTTTTTTGGGGGTTGATATCCCCACCCCTACATCACTTTTCACCCCCTCTTCCTCACACCAACCCTCACTCTTACCCTCACAACTTTCCCTCACTCTCACCCTCACATATTCACCCCCTACACAATCTCACCCCCCTCACATGCACCCATAGGAGGGGGTGGGGTTAGAAAAACCCTTTTTTTTTAGAATATAGTATTATATTAGTAGTAAATAAAAGAGACAAATTTTTTAATATATAATAGGACCAAAAAGAATTTCGTATTATATTAAGGATCCAATCATGCATTAATTAATTACATTGGAAAAAAAATATGTAAAAACTAAATAATATGATAAATAATATTAATTTAAAAATAATTTATTGATTGATTTTGCGTCTATGAGTTAACAGTATTCCTTGAATTCAATGTTACTTTCAGTGATAAAAACAACCTATTAAATATTATTTTTCATATTTATCGATGAACCTTTATTTTATATCGTCCAAGACCCATAACTATATAGAATTGTAAATATTGTAGGAATATAGTAAATGTTAATACCATTTAGTAAAAAAAGTCAACATTAAGATGAATCTGTAGATTTTCAAAACCTAATTTATTTATATAAAAAAGTGTATTATAAGTTTTCAAAAACTTTTAACTTCAAAGTTTTATTCTTAAGGGATAAAATAGAAATATTATAAAAATTAAAAAATGTATATGTTGTACATAATACTTTTAAAACTTATATTCTTGATAAATTAAAAATAATAATAATAAAACCTAAATATTTTACCATCAGAATATTTTTCCCATGACAAATTATATTAAGGAATCTGCAGATTCTAATAAAAGGTTCATGTAAAAAATACATAAATCACAATTAATCAAGAGCAAGTAATTAGTAGAACCAAGTTTTTAATGCATCAATAAAACGGCTCCGTTTGATTTATAGGATTGGATTTAAAGAGATTTAAAATTAAATTCCATTATAATTTTATATTTGGTTTAAAGAATTTCCAGAATTTGAAATCAAACATAGGATTTGATTGGTATTTCACATGATTTCGTAGAATTTGTATGCAATAATGTTTTAAAATATATTTAATAAAAATGTAATTTAATTATTTTTATGATTATTTTATAATTTGTTTTTATAAATAATGGAATTCAAATCCATTCCAAATGATTCCAAATCCTTACAATTAATCCTTCAACAAAATCTAAATCCCTCCAACCAAATAGCCTCTAAAAATAAGGAAACAAATAGCATTTTAAGAACAAAGGTAGAAAAAAATATTATGTATGACTTGAAAACTTTAAGATAAATGGATAAGATTAATTGCATGAAAAAATAATGTACTTTAACTCAATTCGTATTTTGAGTAACGTACTTCCAAAACATCCATTTTAGTATCTAAGATGTAAAGTTTTAAACATTTAAGTATTCGGGTAACCGGTTGAAGCATTAACCGGTTATCATGCTGATGTGGTATCAACTCAGTATTATTTGCTGACGTGGTTAGTGACATGAATTTTTTTTAATCTAAAATTAATCTTTTTTTAATCTAAAATTAGTCTTCAACCGGTTACCCGGATACTTAAATGTTTAAAACTTTACATCTTTTGTACCAAAATGAAAGTTTTATAAGTACGTTACCCAAAATAGAAATAAGTGAAAGGTACGTTACTTTTTCATGCAATTTGCTCAATAGATAAACCATCAAACGGTTAAAGGTCACAAGGATGAAGTTTAACTAATATCACATGTGATTTAAGTTTTCGTAAAATGAGGTTTCTCATTTGAACCTCCACCTCATTCATATTACACAAATACGAAATCGAACTTTTAAATACTCAATACAATGAGATACATAATTTCATATCGTATTACCGACTTAATACAACAAACCAACCAAACGCACGTGACAAAACTTTCTCGTTTCGTCATTTTCAGCGATTTGATCGGGTTTCTCGTGTCGTGTCAATGAGATGACACAGTATGATCGTTTTAACAAACATTTTTATTTTCTAAAATGCATTAGCAATTGCAGGAAAACCAAGTTGGTTAATTCATTAAATCAGGTCGAGTCGAATAATCTTACTTGGAAACTGGAGGGTTGACCCGACAAACCTCAGCATTGAAGCCGGAATCCATCAAAAACAGAAGCCATGCACGTTGTTGCTCAGAAAGACGATCCCTCGGCCCTTTTACTTCCACAAGCTTGGCCTCCCCGCTATAATCTCCATGAAACCGCCACAACAGTAGATCTGGCATGCCACTAGACCAACTCCGATAATCTTGAGCCAGGTGTCGGCAGATTGAGGCCAGGCAACGGCCACCAATACATGTCACAATTGCTCGAAGCTCGGTTAACGAGTGCCTGTTCCAGTCAACTCCTCGACACGCTGTTCCCAAATGGGATTCCCATGAAGTTATGAGCATCTCCTCACCCATGCCTTCCTCAATCTTTACCAGAAGAGGTTCTATGATGCTTTTTCTAGATTCATAAAAGTGATCTGTGTCCAAATCTAAGGGTGAATTCTGCAATAGAAACAGAACTAAAGACCTCAGAAATAAAGCCCCATCTTCCAGACACCTCAGGTCACTGGTTACAAATATCTTCCTATTAATATAGGTACAAAGTTTTATGACTGCAACAATGATCTTGAAAACGCGACCAACCCCAAAAGCATAAACCAAACGAACCCCATATGTACCACCCCACTAGAGGGTAAGATATATGCAGACCTGATCGACATAAAGAGTAGAGTGGCGCTAAACCCAAAAGCATATTATAGGATAAAAACAGAACTCTTGTTGATCTGAGTAAAGTGTGTAAGAAACTTCTGCTCTATGGCTCTACCTACGGACCGTCTTCCCAGTTGAGGTGAGATTTATAGATTATGCTATAGTTTTTTTTATTAACTTGGATATACAACCCGCTATGCGAGCCGACTAATCCCAAGGCGACTACCTGCTTTGCAGATAGCCTGGAGTCACCGCATTTGAACCTCCGTGACCACAAGGGGATTTTTATTCCTCCTTGGATTTGAACCTGGGACCTCCTGGTACTTTTGACCTTTGGAGCCAAGCTCAAAACAATCAGGCACCACCCTTGTGGTTAAATTAGCTATAGTTATTATAAGCACTCGACTAGTATCATATCAAGTGTCATGCAACATAAAATAAGAAAGGCAAGCATGGGTGTAAACAGATATGATTATATTTGCATGTATATATCAGCATTCGCTTGTATTGGATATAGATATATACTTGTGAAGTTGGCTACAGATTTGGATTGGATCCAGATATTGCATTGCATTTTGTATGATATTTGATGAGAATTAGAGAAATGTAACTAGTGAAATGTATTAACATATGAGGCCAAGAAAAAAAAGCAAGACTATGCTATATTGTCTATGCACGAAACTAAACATGCACCAACAACTTGAGGATTACAAACTACGAATTGATGATAATTCACTATTAGCATATTACATGAAAAGATATGGTTGTTAAATACTTTGAAATACAGATACGACCATCTTATACCACATCTACTTATAGTGGCTACTCATCACTTAATAGTATATGAACAAGGGTGGATATATGGTATCCATTTACTTCCCTCATGGCAAGTGATGGTTGTCTTTATAATCATTGTTTACATAGCTATGGCATAAATATGTGTAACGCTTAACAACTAGCATGATATGTACCAACACAAGAAACTGAGACCATGAAACCATGAGTTGGGTTCCAGTGAGAACGGAAGTTATGGTGAGAAGTAAGAAGCGATCTCCACCCTTGGATCAATCCTAATTGAATGCGGTGCACCGAGATGCACCGGAAATTCCCATGATAAGTGCAACTCATGGGGTGGGGTGAGATTAAAGTGATCAAGGGTCCAGATTCCTTCTTACGCTTCTCACCTTAACTCCTATTCTCAGACGATCCTTCCTCATGAAATGATACCATGACATTATTTTATTAAGTACCTGAAATCTGGTGAGAAAGACATTTGGCATGTCAGCAAAGATCACATCCCACATAAGAAGCCCGAAAACAGTCAGCCAAATGCCACTTTCTGAATGGACACCTTGCCAACCACCTCCTTCTCCCGCATAATACTGCAGGGCAAGCTGCTCAACACCACACTGTTCTCCATCTTCACCATAAAACCTGCTCTTTGTTCCAGTTTTACAGTTGAGTGGCCTACCTTGAACGTGAACCTAAAAGATAGTTGGCAAATTCGCCGTGTTAGGTGAAGAATAAAGAGCAAGAATTGAAAGCTTAAATCTCCTAGACGTAATAACTTAACATCTAGAAACTAAAACCGATGATGAATCACTAATTTAAAAATACCCGAAGAGAAGCCTATACTAACAAGTAGCAACCTCAGGGATCTTCCTTTTGAGAGACTCCGAATAACTAGGAACTTTCCACCGTCTTGGCGGTCTTCCCAAGCGAAGTACCCGCCTTTGCAATGATATTCTTGAACCAGCACGAACCCACGGATCAAGTAACCCAGTTTCAGCAACACACAAGCTCTCATTGACACGGCCCAGATGCTCCAAATTAATGGACAATCTCAATGTCCAATATCCTCTTCTTCGATCATTAGCAAAATTAAGCAGTAGGTGCTCGAGTAAATTGATTGCATCGTCGTATCTGAGCAAAGATAAAGTATTTCATCCCTTAGATCACAAATGAAAAGAAAAAAGCCATCCCTGCTACGCTAAAATAACTAGACAGCCAGCTTTTGTGTGTTGCTTTAATCACATCTTCCAAAAGAAGTGCTTACCCAAATGCAAGGAAAGTCAAAGTTGACTACAAACAGCAGAAAAAGATTCATAATAAAGCAACAAGCCTTGCTATGATAATTCAGCATATAGTTTGACGAGTCATGAAAGCAGTAAAAGATAAGAGAGTGCCAGCACTCATACCTACGTTGACACTCAAGAAAAGAAACGCCTAACAGAACCACCTTGGAGTAGATCCAGAAAGCTGAAAAGCATGGAAAGGGTGCAGGCAATTGTTTAGAGGTTGACAACTGTATTGTTCTTGCAGCGGAATTGGATATGCTGGAGTCAGATATTGCAATGCATCTCAAGACCATTGATGAATCATTTTCTTCAAGAGATTCATCCATGATCTGTGCCACTTCAAGTGCCTATTGACAGCTTACCACTAGATTACTTGGGTAAAGGCAATAGTATACCTAAAATAAGAAAGGATGTCTCGGCATTACCTCCTCATAAGATAGTAGGTCATTTCGACTGGAAAATATCTGGTCAGTGACAACACAATTGTAAGTTGGATACTTCACAATTCCCAAATCCACAAGTAAAAATGCTGACAGATCTTGCTCCCCATTACAGAAGAAAAGCCTCTGCACAGACATAAAAAGAGACATTTAAGAGATCTATGTATCTTGGGTATGTAAACTAAATGCAAAGGCATATAGATTACCTCAACACGCCAAATTAGGGAATCGGCTGCTGAAGAAATACGTATACAGGATCCCGCTTTTTCCAAGACTGCTTTTTTTAGTAATGAGCTGCAGCATACATGATTCTAGTTAAGAGAAGAAAGAAACTGAACACAATTGGAGTGAAGAACTTGGGAAATGGCAAGACCTTGGTCCATCCACATATGCAGAAAGAAGTGAAGAAATGTATTCCTGCTTGCTATGACTGCATTTCTGAAAAAAAATTATAAGATTTATCAGAAAAGATTCGAACTTGGGTAATGATAACCTTGAAGAGAGCCAAATTCCATTATAATGAAGTTTAAGATATATGACAGAAGTACAAAGGGACAAAAGGCCAGCATACTGGATATAAAATTCTTGATGCAGGATTTTATGTTGAAAGCTGAGTTGGTAAGATATTCATCATCTACATTCCCCTCTAAAAAGAGCTATATAATTTAAACATGTAATCTCAAAAGAAGTTCATCTTAACCGATTAGCAATCAAATGGCACTAATGATTACACAAGGGAAAAAACTCACAAAAGAATTAATTAGCAACCTGCAGCTCCAAAAGAATTGCCATACATTCGTATAAGGGAAAGAGGAAATAAAAATGAGGTTCGAGGGCCACATAATTTCAGCATGCATAAAGCACTCTCCATGTACCCCATGTTTTAACAACTCACACTCATTCGTCTTACATAGATGATTAAAACTTAAAGCAAGTTCTAGGCTCCAGCTGCAACTGGGAAACAGTAATCATTAATCATCTATCTGTGTTCCTCCTTCTTACCAGTTTCTACGCAACTAAAACACAAGATAAGAATAAAAGACATATTGAAGCTCATTTGTTAACCCCTCTAATAAAATGTTGAACTGGAGAAATATCAGTAGAAACAGAAGCAAGGATCCACCAAATAGACATAAGGGTCAAAGCAAATATATCTAAAAGTCACTGGTTGGCCCATCTACAAAAAGAGCTTAAACCTGAACGGAAGTTGGTAAAAGGGAAGGGAGGGTCCATGCCATCAGTTTTTTCAACTTTAATATCTTGCACAAATCTAGTAGCATAAGCATTATCTGTAGAAAGAGTACACGATATCAATTTATTGCAATGTATGGCCCGTATCTGTCCACACAATAGTTCTCTTCTTGTGTGGTCATCAGAAGCCAATAGGTAACTTTGGGAGCACAACTACAGTATCAACCAAATTTAGGAGGACCCCTCCGGAATGCTCCATCAGCGTATACTATATCAAAAATATAATGAACTTGAGGAAAACACGAATAGGAAATTATAGGAAGACGAAGAGATGTTTGATAACTTGATCCAGCTTATAAACAATGAATGTGGTATCCCCTAAACTGTATCTGAATACACAAAGGGCTATTGCTTAAATAGATATCATTGAAAATATTGCAAGGACTATGCACAAATATAACACCATGTTTTCCTATATGTAGTACTCGTAAAGTTCAGGTTTAATTAACCATTTACATAGAATTTCTGCTCTTTTTCTTGATGAAATGTGGAGGGAAGTGGGAAAATGGCCGATATTACTGAAAGAATTCCTCTTTGGATAGTAGGCACTGTAGCTGGTATTCTTGTGATCGGTTTAGTAGGCGTTTTCTTTTATGGTTCGTATTCCGGATAGGGTTCATCCCTGTAGTAATCGAATGAATTGAGTTGTAGACATGAAAGAGACCTGACTAGAATGCTACAGTGAAGAGATATGATAGAAGAAAGGAGAAACATCAAAAGGCTATTAAATAAACTCTAGCAAGGTCAAGGAACCATAACCACCTTCATAATTTAAATCACTACTGAAACCAATCTTCTCCAGTAATTGAGAATGCTGGAAAGTGCGTAATAATAGCACAACAAAGAATAAAATGCAGAACACTTGAACCAGAATTACACAAAAGCTTTCACACATTCAAGGCCCTTAATATCATCAAGCTATAGATCCAAGGCGAAAATCAACAAAACATACAAATTCTATCTAAAACTTCTATCCGAAGATAAAATGAAATCTTTAAACTAGCCAGGCACAGGCTAAAGTAGCAAATCATATACCACTCTCACAAGCCAGAAACCGGACGGTAGCTTCTCTGCTCTATGCAAAGAAAATGCTTTCAACCAGTCATCTGAGAGAAGAGTTTCATAGCCATAAAATTTCAAAAGTTTGGTGATCTCATGCAATGCAGACCTTATTAATCACACATAACATTTCCCGCAGCTCACCAACAGTAAGTATGTTTAAGACTCCTTCTAGATCATCTTTATGTAATTCACTTGTGGTTTCAATGGAACAAACATAACCTGCTTCTGCAATACACAACCTCATCAAAGTCGTATAAATTGGAATTATAGCCTTAAGAATATAGGCAAAGGTAATAAACTGTAAATACTTTGTAAACAGAATTAAATTACCAGATAGTTTCTTCACTGCATGTTGGGAGTCCAATATTTCAACATAAGCAATATTAGACATCCGAAACCACGGCCCTGAAGTAAGAAGCATACATTTATATTATATTTGCACGGTTTATAAGTTACTGAAAACTATAAGAATTACTCTTCCAAAGCATACCTTGACTCAAGAATATCATATGCAAACAAGAAGAAAGTGTTAGCACATGCTGTAACATACAAAATGATAATTACTATAAATGATAACTATCCATGGTATAATATCAGAAAAATTCCAATTCTCATAGCAGTTCCCATCAATTGAGCGTATAGGTCGCAACAATGTAATTCACCTTCCACAGCATTATGATAAAATGACACAAGATAAAAATAGAGGTAAACAGAAAAAAGGCTGATCATGATCTTATAATAAATAAAAAGAACAAGATATCTTTCTTGATCAACAATATTTCCCCTCATTTTTCCACAAGTTCAAATTTAATCATACAGTCAATGTGTTAAAACAACACAATTATTTGCTTCAGTAATAAGAACAATTACATAATTAAAGAGGACTATGCTGCTATATTAATGCATTTTTAACACGTTCGAAACGCCAACTATCACTCCAATATTTGGAAAATAAGTGTCATGTGATCACTTTCTTCCCTCCCGGATCGCATTGATAAGTCCTTGAGACACTTGTATTATATGTTATACGACCTTCCTTAAAAACGAAGTTTAACCAACAAGAAGAATCGATAACAGCACAAATAAAACTAACCAAGAACAATAGGGTATGACAATCTAATGCTTAAAAGAGAAAAGTAACACCTTTTCTTGTATAAAGACGAATAAAGAGCCTCTGACTATCATCAGAAAGTAAAAGGAAATTTTCTGCAAACACAAAACATACATATTAGCATGAAACTCTACAGAAACAAGGACATGTATAAATGACACTAAGTACCATATAGGCACCTAAGAAGATCTTTTCATCATGTGTGAAAACATGAAGAGTCGTCCTTAAAACTTCTTGTAGCAACAGGCAAAAATTCTGTTGGTACTTCATCGTGACAGGAGGGGATGCCTCACTTAACTTGACAGCGCTTAAAATATGTCGACATAATGACTTGAAAACCTGAAAGTTTTCGCCTTCTAGTTCAATAGAAGAAATCTTCTCTTGACACCAAATCTGAATCGGGACGACTGCATGAGCATGTTCAGGAACCGACATAATACGACCCTGCAATACAGCCCGTTGTAAACTATCATGCAAACTATTATTTTGAAGGAACATATTACCCAGTGCGCCAGGTCCAGCACTAGTCAGATCTAGAAAGTCACACTCTACTGTATATGTCTGCAGAAAGTTACTCATACAGATCCAAATGTTATTCTGACTCATAGGATCGTTTTCAACATCGTATTAAATGAGATAAAGTCAAGAATGCCATGAAGCAAGTCAGATTCAAATGTTATTCTAAGTTGTGGATTGGACCTGAACACACTTAGGGTGAAGTATTTAATTCTTTGTTGTTAATTTAGAAGAAAATATGTATATGGTCGACAATACGGTTTGGTGTCATATTCACGGTGATAAATACATTATTTGGCATACAATTGCTTATGGGGTGATGCAGCATAACCTTGTATCCTATCATAGGTAAGCATACATACATAGTTACACCCATCTAAAAAACACACATGCATAGATAGAGAGAGGGGCATGAAACAAAGAAAAGAGATAGTAAGTGATGCATCATAAACTTTAAAAGAAGAACACTAGCTCATGAACTAATATATTGGTAGTACTCTAGATAAATGCTATTATACCTCAAAGCTCAAGCCGAAGGTGTCCATTAATTTTGACAAATGTTCCGCTAGCTCTCGAGGTATATAACCAAGTACCTTACTGCATCCAGATTCTGCTGAAAGAACCTGGATCAAAGGCCATGTGATTCTTTAACATTTGCAGAACAGTTGTCATCTAAATATAAACTAGACAACAGATAGATTAACCTTGACAGCATTAGGGTCCTTGATATTTTCAGGATCTCTGCAAAGAGATATACTTGCGCCAGTATGTAATTCTCCTTCTTCACTGAACCTTCGGCCAACAATAAAGGTTGCAAGCAACTTACCCAATATGTCATCATCTGAATTGGCACTGTCATCTTCAGAGACCTCAGTCTCAGTAAGCAATGAAGGGGAGTTGACTCTTCCACCATTATTTACTGGGGAACCACCCCTGACACCAATTTTCTCATCATTCACTGAAATTTCTGCTGAATCATCTGCATTTGCTAGCAAAATATCGTCTGAACTGGAAGATGACTGGCATGTGATACTGTCGGTATCCTCAGTACCTACCCCACCTAAATCGGTTATATCCTTTTCAAGACTAGTCAGGTTAGACTTTGTATCATCCAAATTGGTAGAATGAAATTGGACTTTTGATTTGGAGCAGAAGTTGAACTGAAGAAGTGTCTGCTGGCTTAATTTCCGTTTTGTCCCTCTTGCTAAACATGCATCTAAAACCAAACGCATCCATAAGATTCAAGTGCACTTGCAAACATATAAAAGCACGAACAAACAAATACTAAAATGCATATGCCGGGTAAACAATTCATGAAACTTCGCTCTCTCCAGTATGCCTTTTGGTGAATTAAAGAGGACATCTTTATGCAAGAGAATTAACTACTCATGGTGTTCACCAAGTGATGTGTCAAATGCCACCAAGCAAAGCTATTGACAAGAAGTCAGACCCAGAATTTCAAACAGGAATTAATTGCGATCATAAGGAACAACTATTCACGAAAGAACAGGCTGTTCAAAATACTCCGGAGAAATCTGGACTCCAGACATACCTAAATGAGAGTTGATCATGTACTCTTCCCCTCGAACCTTATTCCCGCAAACCGGACAAGTAACCATGTCAGAACCCGAAGTCCCAGCCAAATTTTCACTACGCTCCTCTAGCGACTCTTCTGCTCCATTTTCATCTTTCACGAGACTCGAATCTCTCTGAAAATCAAACAAGCAAAATCCGATCTTAAAATCGTCAAGTCTAGCGTAACCATCTGTATGCCTGATTATATAGAAAAATAGAAAAAAGAAACCTGAATATGAGCTGACATAATAGATTGACGATTGGGGAGGAATCGCCGGCGTTTGCCGATTAATCTGATCAAGCTTTCTCGTCCGGTAAGCATCGTTCGATTAACGTTTGATTTTGACCTAAATTTCATCTTCTTCCCTTTTTCCGGTCGAACAACGGTACCGGCGAGTTTGTATTTGTAGCGTTCTCCCGCCAAATGGAGGTACTGTTCCGGTGGGCTAGGGCGTCTGCTTGTTTGAGTGTTGCCGCTATTTTTTCCCTTGTGTGTTCTTTTACCAACCCATATTTTCTTTTACATTTTTAGTCCATATGGTTGCCACTTTATTTTAGATTTGGTCCCTTTATTGCTATTTTGTTTCGGATTTGATCCGATTAATTAACTCCGTTAAAAAGAATAAGGTGACGTTTGTTTTCTAAGAGGTGTTGAAGTCTGAAATCTTATTTCATTTCTAATTAATAAGAGGTGGTGTTGAAGTCTGAAATCTGAATGAATAAGACTGTTTGTTTATAAAACTGATAAATGTCTGAATTTGTTTAAATTGTCTATTTTATCCATTAGAAAATTATAGTGTTAAATTTATATAGATAAGTTTATACAATTTCACATATTTGTTCATCATTATTACGAATTTTATATTTAAATTATATAATTAACATTCATTTAAACAAACATATGTTATTAACGTTATTTTGAACACATTTAAATCCTATTAAAACACATCAATTGAGACAGGTGATGATCGATTTGGTAATAATCGATTGAAAAATGTCGTTGCTAAGAGTTTGGAGAACAATAAGAGAAAAATAAAATGTTGGTTTACCTCTTATCAGATAAGAGGTTGGTTTACCTCTTATCAGATAAGAGGTGAACAAGACATAAGTACCTCTGAAAAAATGGGGAAAAAACAAACAGTCCGAATGTCCTACCTCTTAACTAATCAGGCATAAGAGACTAATAAGAGTTTTCTTTGAAAAACAAACAAGGCCTAAGTTAAGTTGGAGGCCTATGTTTTTTATTATAACTTAATTTATGTTTGATAAAAAAATAATTTATTTTTGGTTTAATAATATATTTTTTTATAAATATAATACTTAAGTATTCTCTTAGAACAATTATCTTAATTATATTTTATTTTTTATATTAAAAATGAATTGTTTATCCTGTTACAATTACGAGTATCTGTTGTTAGTTACACAAATACAAACATGGAGTTTTAATAAATTGTACTTACGCACAATTTACTTGTAAACTTGAATTTTAAGTAATATGCATCAATAAACAGTACTTCATGCATAAAAAATGGTTTTCAAAAGTTTTTATCAAATGTTTTATAATACAGTATAAATATATTAGCTAGTACAGGTTTGGTTAATATAGTAAGAAATGGATTTTACAAGAAAAACTTTTCGACACGCCAACTATTGACCAATTCTTTCTGCTAGAATTTTGTTGAAAAACCATGTTGAATACTGAATTCGAATGGTGCAAGAGAATTTGGCCATTAAAATCATCTATAGCAGCTATGCTATTTTATAAATTTTGAAAATGTAAGAGAAATTTGCTTAAATAGAAAAAAAAAATGAGGAAGGCTGGAAAACCAAACTACAACGAATATCCGAAGAGAAAGAATGAACATTTTTATGTTCACGTTTTTGTTTTATTTTCAGCATCCTGAGTGTCTTTGCTTATTTTATCGTGTTTAAATTGCTATTTGTATATGTTTCTCTACCTATCTATATATCTATACATATATATATATATAGAGAGAGAGAGAGAGAGAGATGGGTTCAAACGAGAAGACTAACTATTAAAAAAAACAAGAAAAAAGTCGTTAATGTACAAAATCATATGAGATTTTACGTTAAATCAACGGACGACTTTTGAGACCATTTAAGTCGCAGGGCAAAGTCGCGAGAATCATGTATGATTTGTTACGTGAATTATATATGATTTTGTACATTTACAACATTTTTCTTGTTTTCTTAAATAGTTAACGTTCTTGTTTTTAAACGGACGGGCACTGCTTTGTAGACCTCGTATCTATCATTTCTGCCCTCGACATATACACATATTATGTTCAATTTTTTGGTTTTAACAATTTATGTATATGTTTTCATTGCTTAAAATTTTAAAAATAAAAATTATGCGATAAAGTATTAAATTTAAAAAAACATTATTATAAATGTTTAAATTAAAAAATATAACTTATATCAAATATCTATACTATAATATATATATATATATATATATATATACACACACTATATTATAAAACATTTGATAAAAAGACTCTTAAAAACTATTCTTTATGCATAAAGTACCGTGTATTAATGTATATTACTTAAAATTTAAGATTACAAGTAAATTGTGCATAAGTACAATTTATTAAAACTTTATTTTTTGAATTCGTATAACTGACTTCAGCTAAACATAATCAAATACAAGATAAACATCGCATTTTAGATATAAAAAATCTAAAATATAATTAGGATAATAATTGAGTTATAACAGAATCATTATCTATATAAAAATTATATTGTTAAACCAAAAATAAATTACTTTGTTAATAGACCTAAATTAAATTATAATAACAAATTGAATTAAAGAAATTGTATAAAAAACGAGAATTTTTAAATAGTTAATTTGATATTAATTTCGCTATATATTTTTTCAAAATTTTATGATGTCTTCAAATTTATTTTTATTCAAAAGTAAAAACATTATTTTTATCGAATCCACATAAACCGTATTATATCATAGAGAAAAAAAACAAAATATTAAAATGAAGATGTATCTCGCTGCATTACACGAGTACCCTTCTAGTATGTGTATATATATATATATTCTTTTTAATTATTGACAAGTATTTTATAAAAAAAATATTATTACTAAAAGGGTATTAACGTAATAATTAACAAGAATAGAAGATATTTTAATTGTTGATTATTTAGGACGGATTATTTGACTCATAAATAATCAAAATCATCATAATTCTTCCAATAAAATATGAAGATTTGAAATTAATTGATATTAAAATCCAACATTCTTTTGATATTTGGACTTTTGGAATCTTGATCTCAATTCTTGAAAATAATCTTTTTTACAGATTTTTACTTTTCTTTTTTTTTTATAAAAAAATCATCTGCAAGACAACGATATCAGTACGAAATCAATCAGATTTAGAAATCAAACGAGTGACCATCATCAACCATGCATTCGATTCCCAGAGTTAAAACTTGATTCTGAGGTGCATCTTTCCAGATCCGCAATCACCATTCATCTGTGCTAAATTCATGGTGGAATCCCATTATTTATTCAGCAAAATATATCCATTTCTTTTTCCAACAATACATAATTCACATTTTCAATCATGAACAACAAAAGACTCTCTTTCTTCATCTTCTTGACAGCGTTTCTTTGCACGATAATAGCCATAGCTGAAGCAGGACAATGTTTCTGGTCAAATTCCTATGCAATCAACGTCGTGAATGAGGTGAACGGCCAGCAAATCCGGGCTCACTGCAAATCAAAAGACGACGATATCGGTGAAAAAACAATCGGATTTCAGCAATCGGTTGACTGGCATTTTTGCGAGAACATTATTTCCCCGAGTACTCTTTACTTCTGCCATTTTTATATGGGTAAACAACAACAAGTATTTGATGTGTTTAACAACACTGTTAAACCCCAATGTGCCGAGAAAGAAAAGAAAAAGGACTGGAGATGCACCTGGCTGATCAGACCCGATGGCTTTTACTTCGTCCATCGTCCCTTCGATGCTCCTGAAGAGACACATAAAGTGCATGATTGGAGCCCAGCACGATGATCAGCTCCATCCACATTCACTAATTACATAATCATCTGTTTCTTAATCTTGTCTTAATTCTTCGTCTTCACTATTAACATAAAAACTAAGTGTTGATAATTCCAAGCTACTGTTCCATTAATTTTGAATAAAATTTATTATTGAAATAACGAAAATTACTACATGATATCCATCGTTCATATCATATTTATATTAACTATTACTGTGGTTACTAGAGAATAGAGATGACCAAAAACGGGTTCCGGATCAGACTCAAATTAGTCTTGGTCCCAAAACACCCATGGTTCGCTCTACGTGTTTTGTAACCGATCACCAGAACCAATCCCAAATTTTTTTTCTTTAAAAAATCAATTTTGAACGTTAAAAAAATATGGGTTACAGATTTTTTTGAACAATATCTTATTGAAATATACTTTAAAATCTTTAATTGGGCCATTCAAATACACTTTAAAATTATTCTTATAAATATTTTTTACACAAAAATGTTATAGATTTCTTTATAACTACGATTTTTGAGATTTAATATTTGAACACTTACAAAACTTGATTTTTTTAAAAAAACTAGTTTTTGGTATAAAAAACTTGAAAATTGTATAGAAATATTTAGAACTTGATATATAATCTATAAAAACTTAACATTTCTTCAAAAAAAAAATTGGACTTATGTATAACCAGTCCCACAACCAGAACGGGCCGTGAATTTTCATAAAAAATCATAACCGGGGCGGTCCGTTCTGGCCATCTCTAATTATATATATATATATATATATGTATATATATGTATATATATATATATATGTATATATATATATATATGTAGGGGAGTGATCAAATGCAAACTACTCAATTTGTACAAACCGTGCAAACCGTATTCAACCAATCATAATTTTTCATTTTGTTCATTTTTTTGTAATTATGAGAGGTTGATTAATCATTTTTATTGTGGAGG